CCGCTCGCTCTCGTGGATGTAGGCACATTGCCGAACCACGTAAATCTCTGTGTGTTATTTTCTCCTGCTTTCTTAATTGTTTGATTCCTTACTATTCATCATAATTGCTGCACGATCACAACAATATCCTAAGATTGAAACCAAATATTGACAGATCACTATGTTTGCGATAAAATTAAATAGTTTTAGCATTATTATTTTAGTTTAATAATGAGTTAGAAGTTGCCCCCACTACATAAGTCTTGGCTCCTACCCTCGGTACGAAACAAAGTCAATGTTGTGACCGTGTGTGTTATTCAAAAAGAAGACTTGAGATGGACGGGGTGGGGTATTTGGATATCTAAACACATAATTTAAATGTGAAAATTTGTCCTTTAAAAAACGAAATATTGAATGAATTAATCTTTAATCAAGAAATTTAGTATTCTTCTTTTTGTTTTAGACCTACAGGTCTATTTGAGTGAGATGGTTTACACAAATTTGAGGGAATGAAAGTTACTGATTCGAATCTCATATCTATCAATTGAAATGATAGTTAAAAAATATTTAAAAAGTATCTTGTTTCCATGTAGTGAAGATATTAATCTTTGCCCAAGTTTATGAGAGAAGTAATATTATTTAAATTTAAAAAATCTGATATAATTTAGACGGGAAAGAACCTGAATAGCTCGTCCAGATAGGTCACTTTGGCAACGAGGCTCGTTCATTAGCTCCCATGCAAAAATGGTGGGATCATCTTTATATGGCACCCCAGTTATCGAGTTGACTCTTGTGAGCATGGCCTGCATCCCGATGTCCGCATCAATTTTTTGATATAATTTAAGAGATAATTAAAAGTATCAGATGTGAACTGCAAGTTCGTAACAAATTGCGACTGCGAGACTTAACTGTATAATACATTTATATAAGAAATCACTGCCTCTTGTGCTCCTTCTGGTAAATATAATTAAGAGAAAGATAACGCACTAAAAGAAAACTGATGTTCCCCCTCCCCTTCCCCTTCTCCTCCCAAAAGAAAAATAAAAAGAAAACTGATGTGACTTAAATTCAGACATATGTCATTCTTCCTAAGCATTAAAAAGATAATAAATTAGAGGAGATACGTGATATTTACCTTCACATGATTTTTGTAGTACCCTTTAACAACGGGGTTGGTATAAAAGTCATCATCGTTGTTCAAGTGTTGACCTTGGTCCCTTGCCCACTGGACATACTGTCTTTTTCCCCCAAAAGCTTCATAATTATTCACCAAGCTAAGTATCAAGTAAACTCCGTACTTCCTAGCTTCTGACACCACAAAATCCAATCCCTGATCAAAATCCCCCCCCCCCAAAAAAAAAAAAAAAAAAGAAACAAAAATGAATACAAATTGAAGAAAACTAGTTTAACATAAATTGAACGAACGGTCTTTAAGAACAAAATTTCTCTGATTCCCGTGTATAATACTTCAAGAAACTAAAGATCAAATATGTATAAAGAGAAAATCAGGGAATCAGTAAATTAATCTGGTTAGATTACCTTGAACATGTTCTCATTGTAGGAACCAGGAGAGTACTGTAGGGGTTTGTAACCACCATCACTGAAAGCCCAAGTTCTGGCAACATTCATCCCATATTTGGAAGCTTGTTGAAATGTAGTTGTTACCTTCATCCTCGTAGACGCGTCAGATGCCATGTACATCAACCAATAAGCATTGAAGCCATTTAGGAATAACGGCTTCCCATTCATCAAGAAATGGGTCCCGCTTATATGAACAAAACTGGGGCCGAGATAGGCTCTAGCCTTGCAATACTCCTCTTGGAAGAGAACCAGAAGAACCAAGAAAATAAACCTAAGAAATAATCTTTTTCCCACCATTGTTGAATGTTGTATAGCTCCAAATGTTATATAGCTCCCGGAAGGAATGCTTGTGTGGTTTACCAAGCCCTTATAAAGAAGTGCCACGAATGCGAGAGGTTGTCCAATGTGTGTTTCATTGACTAGCTCTCGTTGGGGTTCTATAGACGCCAATCTAAACTAGGAATGGGAGTGGACCGGATAAAAATAGGTATTTGTTCAAGTCTGTCCCGTTTAAACCGAGGATAGACCATATGTATAGAACAGTGAACGTATATGAAAATACCTGTATAAACCCGTGTAGGGATGAAGGCGGAGATGAACTAACACTTACCCTCACCCCGTCCAGCCCCGCTTTATCCGTTATTATTATTATTATTTTATATATATATATATATATATGTTGCTGTGAAATACAAATCTATATATTATTGAATGATTTTTTCTTTTAGAATTTTTTTTTTTTGATTTTTTTTCATGGTTTTGACTTGTAAAAGTGTAAATCTTTGTATTTTTATATTTTTCATGTTGGATTATGTTACGTTATATTATATTGTGTTGCATGATATTGTGTTGGATTTACAAGGATACAAATTTTTAATTATATTATGTTGGATTATGTTGTAGTCAAGGTTTTAATTAACATAATATAACATAAATGACAAACTTTTAATTATGTTATGATATTCTATAATTATGTTGCATTATTTAGAATATTAGATTTATTTAAAATTTTAGATTATATTGACTTGGGCTTGGACGAGTTAGGCAGACGGGGTGAGGGCAGAGGTAAAGGCAAGGGACGAGGCAGGGGTGGGGTTTACAAATTTACTTGGGAATGGGGATGGGGATGAAAACTATACCCATTAATGGGAGTGGACCAGGGATGAACGAAAATTTTTTAAGCGGGACACTTGCGGGACCACATCCTAATCCAGACATCTGCAGTCCACTGTCATCCCTAAACCAGACATTTGCGGGACCACATCCTCCGCAAAATGCCCTTCATTTTTTTTATTTCCTTTTTGTTTAAAGTAGAAGTGCTATAAAACCATTGTTTATAATAATATTTTTCAGATGATGATGCACAAAAATGAATTTATGCACAATCAACAGTTGAGTAATTAATATGGATAATAAATATAATAAATATAAATGTGAGATCAACATAGACAACACACACATATAGAGTGGTTCGGTCAAGGTGATCTACTTTACTTTGAAGGCAGCCAGATGATTTTATTGATAAAGTAGTTGATGGGAAAATACAAGTAAGCTCTAAAAGAGGTTGAGTAACTACAAGAGAGATAGTTGTGTAAAGAATGTGTAGAGAGATGTAGAGAGCTTACAATTTATAGACACAAAATCTTAATTGAGGCGATGGCGTGAAGAGAAAAGTGACTTCATCCTTCGAAGAGAGTAGTTATAGCTAAGGATAGGTACAATTAAAAATAATCTTAATCTTTGAGTAGTTATTACGATGTTTACTCTCTACACATACACTGATCTTCTGAATCTCTTGAACTCGGCATAAGGTCATTTGTGCGACCCACGAGATACTATCAAACTAGATCCTACTCTACTGTTGTATCCATGTGTCGTAAAAAATGGTAAGAAACACTGATTTCTTCTTTTAAAAGTTTTTGTTTCTTAACTTTTTTGGTTATTTTTTTATGATAATTTGTTATGTTACGCCCGAATATTGAACGATACATTTGCCTACAAAAACAAGTGGTTAAGGGTGTTTATTGCTTCTATATTTGTAAAATTACATTTCCACCATTACAAACACAGTTTATTGCCTCTATAAATCCGTAAATTAAATGTTTCCACAATAAATGAAAGCAAAATATCATGAAGTATAAATGCATGAAAGTTGAAATCTCAGTGACAGTCAAAAAGCTGGGGTTGATAGTGTAATCAATTTCTTTCCAAAAACTCACATCGATTGCTTTAGGATCACCATAAATTGTGATTTATTAATAGCTTCCATAGAGATCAGCTCTGTTAAAAAAAACACTTAATCACTTCAAATAATTGCAACTTGAACAAACAGAAACTCACATGGTAACTCTGAAAATCAAGGAGTTCCAAGATAACAAATGGCACAGCCATAGTATACGGGCCACCACTTGTGTCTAACCCAATATGGCTATAATATGCTTCATTTCATAAACCTAGTAGTAATGCGATCACTACTTGATTAAGAGACAGTAAGTGATGCCAAATGTTGGAGTTTTTACTTGCTTAAAAACATGAATATGTGTTGACATGTCATTTGATGCCATAAACACCTAGCGCACACTGATTTTTACATTGCGTGCAGATTTAGGTTATTCCCAATCCAATTCACCTAAAATGCATCAATGAATCACCTACTAATGCCGTGGGTCTCGCATAAATTTGTGATTAATATGTGTTAGACAAAAAAATGTGAAAAAGAATTACTTGATTAAGGTGTCATTAAACTCTTGGTAACAAGATTAATTAGTATCCCATCACCACTCTATCACACAAACCGTGTAAGCAGAAGTGGTAAATTTCGACAGAAACACAAATCTAAATACTCGAGATGTGAAGAACATAATAACAAAAACTAAATAGCTAGCTACTATCTTACTATCACTAATATTTTAGCCAATTCTGGAGGGGTGAAATGATCCCCATTTGGAACTAATCTCTTCAATCTATCTGGTAGTCATCCAGTGGATCAACTTGATTGACCTTTCTGTTGACATGAAAAGAAGTAGTCAGTTATTAATATTTGTGAGTGGCGTCAAGATGCAACAACCCAACGACACCTCGTGTCAGCACTTGAACCATCGCCTAAGTTTGCTTCTATGCTTTGTTCATTCATCCAACTGTAATAACTGAATTCACATCCTCTGCACATATATCTATATATTTTACTATACTATAAAACAATCCAATTAAGGATGAGAGATTTTGAGAAAAATCAACTTTAATGATCAAAGTCTCATAAACTTAAACGAAAAACGCATAAAATTCATATTCTTGAAACTACATACCTAATTAGAATTAACAGTAGTACCTAATAAGCATGATCGGTTTAAGAACCAACATTCACTTATCTAACTTAATATCAGGACTTTGGTGAACTAAAGTAAGTCAGAATGCTTTCTTTTCATTCATCATAAAAAATACAATTAGAAGAAATGTATGTGCCTCAAGCACTATATTATGCTAAACAAAAAATCGTCAATATTTAATCAACCATTTTTTTGTGTTCATTTAAAAAATTTAGACCAAATTTTTCTTACAAATAGAACTGCAAGAAACTATCAATCTATATTAGACACTTTGTAAAACAGTAATTACACGATCCACCATCTATAAAATCATAAAACAAACTGTGAACACCCACATGTTATATTGCACCAATCCAACCAAATTGTATTGTCTATACTAAATGAAGACTTACAACAATCTATATTGCCCATACAAAAGACCAAGTAAAATGGAAGTGGTTAAAAAATAAACATGCACCTTTTATGTATCCAGAGCAACTCAAAACTATACTAACTACATCAACTACATCATAGCAATATATGAATATGTGACAATCCAAACATAAAAGAGTGTAGTACAACCTTTTTTTCAAAAGTTTATAAACAATCCATTAAATTTATTAGTCTCAAGCAACTTCTATGACACAATAAAATAACATAAACTACTTCTAAATCAACTCTACCTTTATAAATCAGCAAAAATCAGTGTTTGACCAATTAAAAATATTCTACCCTTGGATTATATATTTGAATTAAAATATACAATGTACACTTGCAAAATGGGAGAAATAAAAATTTAGACAGAACATCTCCCGAGAATATTAAACACAATCCTCTATAAACACAACTATTTTTACCATCCATCACAACAACATTAACCATAAGATGAAAGAATGATCACCAAACGTAATTATATTGTACACTTACAAAAATGGGTCAATCTTTAATCTAGTTTATCAAAATGGATCATTCATCATTAATATTTTCAAACTTTCTCTTTATCACGGTCCTCAATGTCCTTATATCAACACATATCTGCATCCTCCAGTTGGGAGAATGTTAACAACCTAATATTCACAAAAAAAATAAAATCAATACACAACATAATTTAAAACAACAATAAAATTAGTTACCTTATTCATAAATCCCTATTTGGAAAGCTTGGTTGATTTTATTCTATTTAACTCGCGCACTTCTTAATTCCAATTCTACAAAGATTAAATTCAATTGTAAATTTAAAATAGCATTATTAAAATGATTGTCATTGGTAGAATTAAACTTGCAAAAAAATTATACCATTTACTTATCGTAGAATACCACAGGTTACAATAAAACTTCAGGGTACACAATGTTTGTTGTGCAGTTTGACCCATTTTTGGGGAGAAGGACATGTACACAATAAGTATGTGAACATTTTGCAACGGAAAAAAAAAATTAAGACATTTCCAACATACACCACATGCTGACACCCATTGGTGATACCAGCACTCCAACTAAATCATCCAACTTTTAGATAACCAATTCAAATCCTCAAAACTTCAACGAACTTAAATATAATGACCACATAATAAAATTGAATATAATCAAACCAAATTCACATATTTAAATTGAACCTAATCAAACCAAGTTCACAAAATCCAAGAGTACGTGGGTGAAGGAAAGGGAGTATATGTGTGTGCGATGGGTATTTTTTAGGGGGGTGGGTTGTGCAGAGAGGAAGAGAGTTGTGTGTTTTGTGTGTGTGTGGGTGAGATGGGTATTTTTTTCGGGGCAATGGGTTGGTGGGTAGCGTAGAGAGAGAAGAATGTGCGTGTCTATGTGTTTTCTGGGTCTATGTCTTGTGTGTGTTCTAGGGGGGAGGGGGGAGGGTTGCATGTGTGTGAGAGAGCGAGAGAGATACGAGAGAATGTCTATTAAAACAAACAAAACAATAACAAATATTTGGTTGGATGTCCTTCTTCACAAACCAAATTGAAATAAATCTCCAACAAA